TGAAAGCATTTCCACTAAGGTCAGGAACAAGACAAGGTTGCCCACTCTCACCACTCTTATTCAACATAGTTTTGGAAGTTTTAGCCACAGCAATCAGAGAAGAAAAGGAAATAAAAGGAATCCAAATCGGAAAAGAAGAAGTAAAGCTGTCACTGTTTGCAGATGACATGATACTATACATAGAGAATCCTAAAGATGCTACCAGAAAACTACTAGAGCTAATCAATGAATTTGGTAAAGTAGCAGGATACAAAATTAATGCACAGAAATCTCTGGCATTCCTATACACTAATGATGAAAAATCTGAAAGTGAAATTAAGAAAACACTCCCATTTACCACTGCAACAAAAAGAATAAAATATCTAGGAATAAACCTACCTAAGGAGACAAAAGACCTGTATGCAGAAAATTATAAGACACTGATGAAAGAAATTAAAGATGATACAAATAGATGGAGAGATATACCATGTTCTCGGATTGGAAGAATCAACATTGTGAAAATGACTCTACTACCCAAAGTAATCTACAGATTCAGTGCAATCCCTATCAAACTACCACTGGCATTTTTCACAAAACTAGAACAAAAAATTTCACAATTTGTATGGAAACACAAAAGACCCCGAAGAGCCAAAGCAATCTTGAGAAAGAAAAAGAGAGCTGGAGGAATCAGGCACCCTGATTTCAGACTATACTACAAAGCTACAGTAATCAAGACAGTATGGTACTGGCACAGAAACAGAAATATAGATCAATGAAACAGGATAGAAAGCCCAGAGATAAACCCACACACATATGATCACCTTATCTTTGATAAAGGAGGCAAGAATATACAGTGGAGAAAAGACAGCCTCTTCAATAAGTGGTGCTGGGGTGGGGCTTCCCCGGTGGCGCAGTGGTTGAGAGTCCGCCTGTCGATGCAGGGGACACGGGTTCGTGCCCCGGTCCGGGAAGATCCCACATGCCGTGGAGCGGCTGGGCCCGTGAGCCATGGCCGCTGGACCTGCGTGTCTGGAGCTTGTGCTCCGCAACAGTAGAGGCCACAACAGTGAGAGGCCCGCATACCGCAAAAAAAAAAAAAAAGGCAAACCAGTTTAACTTAAGAATGTCCTTGATGGGCTTCCCTGGGGGCACAGTGTTTGAGAATCCGCCTGCCAATGCAGGGGATACGGGGTTGAGCCCTGGTCTGGGAGGATCCCACATGCTGCGGAGCAACTGGGCCCATGAGCCACAACTACTGAGCCTGCACGTCTGGAGCCTGTGACCCACAACAAGAAAGGCCGCGATAGTGAAAGGCCCGCACACCGCGATAAAGAGTGGTCCCCCCACCCCCGCTTGCTGCAACTGGAGAAAGCCCTCGCACAGAAACGAAAACCCAACACAGCCAAAAATAAATAAATAAATAAATTTAAAAAATAATGTCCTTGATGATGCAATAAAAATTAATTTTATTAAACTTCCACCCATGAATACATGTCTTTTTAACATTCTGTAAGATAAGAAGAGAAGCATGAATAATAGACTTCTGTTTACATACTAGGGCTGTATAGAGGAAAAGCACTTGTGATTGTGTGAGTTATGAAATGAAGTAGCCACAGTTTTCACAGACCATCATTTTTACTTGAAAGACTGATAAAATGGGTCAATAAGACTTGGGCAGGGAGTTCCCTGATGGCCTAGTGGTTAGGATTCTGGCCTTTCACTGCCGTGTCCCTTGGTCGGGAAACAGATCTTGCAAGCAACATGGCGTGGCCAAAGGAAAAAAAGAAGAAGAAGAAGATGACTTGGCCATTTAGCGTACATTTTCTTCAAAATGAACAAAGTGAGTTTTTCATTTCAAGAGAAACAACTGACAGTATTTGTTGCCAGTGATAAATTTCTAACTGCTGCTTAAGACCTCTTATTTATTTATTTAGGCCGTAGTGACATGTGGCATATGGGATCTTAGTTCCCCCACCAGGTATCAAACTCACACGCCCTGCATTGGACTGCCAGTGAAATCCCAAAACCTCGTATTTTAGAATATGTGTGCCCACTACATTGAACTTGATAACTTCCCAATCTTAAGACTTTTCTGAAGAGATTAGTGAAATTAACAAATGTGGATACTTTAATATTGTATAATGAAATGCATCAATACTTGGAAGAGCCGCATAATTCAGTGAACCATTATTTTCCAAATGACTAATGCACCATGTCACAAAATCACACATGGGTAAAAAATTGATTCAAAGTGCAAGAGAGACCAATGGCTCTTAATGTAAAAATAGAAAAGTTCATTGATGAGGTTTCAGATTCTATCTTGACTAGTCTTAAGAAACTGTCACTTCGGTATAGAATATCCACAACCATCTGAAAAGACAAACTATTCCTCCCTTTTCCTACTATATATGTGTGTGAGACTGCCTTTCCTTTACATACTTCACCAGAAAACATAGCATAACAGACTGAATGCAGAGGCAGAGATGAGAATATTTCTTATTTCAGTATTATTTGGGGGAAAACCTGATTTTTCACTTAAAAATGTCAACATACAATAAGTTTATTTTTAATAGATTAATAAATATTTTTTAAATTTCTCAGTTTTAACTTCTCAAACAGTAAATATGATAGATGTAGCCCACATAAACAAAAGCTGTTTAGGACCCTAAATCATTTTTGAGTACAAAGGGTTCTGAGAGCAAAAAGTTTGAGAACCACTAAAATAACCAAATGAGAACTACAAAAGTGGAAACTTGACAGGGAGTTTCCTGTGTCAAGACTTCCATATACTCAGCATACTCTTTTTTTTTTTTTAAATTCAAGTTTTGATGATGGAGTACGAGGTTAACTGTGCAACAAAGCAAACTTTAACATCTGGTGTACAAATCTTGGTTCAAAAAGTACATATATGTCAAAAACATATACATTCACATTTAACAGCATGGTTTCTGCTTTATTAAAAATATGTTCAATGGGCTTCCCTGGTGGTGCAGTGGTTAAGAATCCGCCTGCCAACGCAGGAGACATGGGCTCGAGCCCTGGTCTGGGAGGATCCCACATGCCGCGGAACAACTAAGCCCGTGCACCACAACTACCAAGCCTGCGCTCTAGAGCCCGCGAGCCACAACTACTGGGCCCACTAGCCACAAATGCTGAGCCCACATGCCACAACTACTGAAGCCCGCGCGCCTAGAGCCCATGCTCAGCAACGAGACGCCACTGCTATGAGAAGCCTGCGCACCAGGACGAAGAGTAGCCCCCGTTCAGCGCAACTAGGGAAAGCCTGCATGCAGCAACAAAGACCCAACGCAGCCAAAAATAAAAATAAATAAATTTATTTTAAAAAATATATGTTCAAGTAACAGGGTTTATACTTTATCCTTTTAGTGAAAACATATGGCAAATTCACGTTGCCCCAAGTGTGCTGCAAGATAAACAGGACTCTAAATCGTTCTCTGTGTCTAATCTTCCTCTATCTTGTCTTGCTGTCCACTCCTACTTGCCCTGCAAGCAATGAAATGACAAATTTCTGGAATATACTGCTGGTGCTTTCAGCTGTGCTCTGCCTACACAAAAACAAAACAAATCCATAATAGGGACCTCTGGGATTGGATGGAAAACGCCTCCCACCAGTGGACTGGTCGTTCTATGAGTCAATCAAATAATTCCTGGCAGAAAGCCAGGCAAATAGAAAACAGACTTTGAAGGAAGCTACTCTACAACTCTATGACAATACCTTTTTAAAATGTTCTGTATTTGACCAACCTTTACACTCTTTTCTACGTCTCTGTCCCTGTGCTGAAAATAAAGCAACACTATTCTTCCATAAACCACAGGACTTTTAAAATGACAGTAGTATTACCTTTTCTCTAAAAAAAAGATTCAGACCATTCATTCACAGCAATGGGTAAGCAATTGTAACTCTGTATGATAACATATGTTGGGTACAGGAACATAGTCTGCTTTAGAGAACACTTAAAGCCTAGATGAAACTACAACTACACCAAATTTTTAGAAATGAAGGTCTCTCCTTTTGGTATGGCACATCAGTAATTCCTTACCTCTTGCTACTTTGACGGGCAGCTACAATTTGCAAGTACTTTTAACTAGGAACTGTGGAGAACGATCTGACAGCAATTAGCTAAGGCAACTACCAAAGGGCGGGGCGGGGG